GGCAGGATCGCGTAATCTGGTCTAAGCTAGCTATACGAACTTGCCATATCTTGCCACCTGCATCAATCGCCGCCTAAAGTACATTTTCTAAACATTTTCTTACTTTTTTGGTCTCCTAATAGTGGCACTCGTGGTATTATCTTTGAAAATTTCGGTTGGTTATATATCAAGAGTTTCACTCGGTCTCGCCACTCAATAGACTTTTTGAAGACAAAAATTAATGTAGTGCAGTGAGTCTTTGAGAATTTAATGAAGGTAATGAAAAAGCGGATAAACTGTTTGAAAATTCACCTTATATATTAAATGACATGATATTCTAAGAGGTTTACTGTTCCTCCGGCCATTCACAATTTCAACATTCATGGTATGACGTGTGAATTTACTTATGACTAGCGATGTCGGCGCCTGCAGGATAGGCAATTTCCAACACGTAAACGTCAAGACGGTTGCCATGTCAGCATCAACGTCCTCATTTTCAACTTTCCTCAATAAAACGCACTTAATAAATTGTGGAAATATATTTCATAAACTCCCCATATTATAAATTAAAGATAATTCCTTAACAAGGTTGTCTTTAACCATCGGTTTTATGATAGCAAGTAAGTTGAAGAAAAATGTCATTTTTTTGATCTTTATTTTTAGTCGCACGACTAAGGTTCTTAGCGACTACAAGGGTTTATAGCAGAGAATTATGATTTAATCGATAATTACATTAACATAAGTATCATTATATATAAATCATATCGTATTACAGCATGACATATAATGTATCTTGCGTAACATAAACATACACTATCATCAGGACAGAATCATAACATATCTCCAGTACGCTTACTATAATATTATATTTCTAGCATGACGTTGTTTGCAAAATTTGACCATCTTGTTCTGAAAGGGGCTAGAGAACAGGATTTTCTCTATTTCATTTGTATTAAAAAACATAATTCTAATGTATCTCAGTAGCCGCCGCTGCCGGTCCCAAGCCGGACAAAGGACGAGGGTTTCAAGTAAGGTTAGCTCCCTTCCTGAAAGAAAGAAAAAAAACTCTGGTCAGAGAACCGCGCAAAGGCTCGGAACTTCACACAATTGGGACGTGGAATGTTAAATCATGGAAAAGAAAAAGTCAGAATATAATGATGGAAATTGCAGGCAGGAAATTGGATTTCTGTAACATATCAGAAACAAAAAAGGAAAGGTAAAGGCACTGAAGTAATTAATGACTACATCCTGATCTACAGAGGACGAGGTAAAGATGAAAGGGGGTACAGCTGGAGTAGAACACTCTAGCACAAATATATATATATATATATATATATATATATATATATATATATATATATATATATATATATATATATATATATATTGTAACGAGTCAAAATAATCAAACACGTTCGATGTTCGTGTGCGCGGCCCACCTGTACAAAATTGATACGACGAATACCACAGTGACAGACAAGAGACCCAAAAATATTTTCAAAAATCATTAATCAGAATTGGAATGAACGTCTTACCGAACGCAGTGTGATATATGGTCAGGTGGACGACGAAATAGTATGAACTGTAGGACGTTGTTCAGTTAGAAATGAAGACTGAGTAATGTAATCATCGACAAGGAATGTATGTCTTAGAGGAGCTCGAAGATTTGGGAAAAATATGATGTTTGACGACGTGTACACGTGAGCAGGATGGAAATACAAACAGACAGCAATGTTGTTTTTTTAATTTTTCGGTTTCCCAGCAATAGAACGGAAATATTATTTCAAGAATATTAGAGAACAAAAAACCGTGTCCAAAATGGCAATTTTCTTTCAAAAATTTGGAGTTGTTTTTAAGAAAACGGCGCATAAGCGTCACAGTAAATTCAAAATTTGAAGTATTTTCACAGAAAAAATTGAGTTTTAGAAAAACTTCACCTGAAGTCATTTGAAGCACTTTAACTCACAAATAGTGTTTTCAAATAGCTGTAATTGTGTATATTACAGGCGTGTGAGATATTTTAAAAAAATTCATTTGTTTAATTTTAAAAAAAAATTACCCCGAAATGAACTTAACGTGATACTAAAGAGTGCAATTAGCATTATCCTGTCGAAAAGTTTGAAGAAAAATTTGGAGCCGTTTTTGAGAAAATGAGGCTTGATCGTTTCTGAAATTGCGAAATTTTGAGCTAGTTTTGTCAGAAAATGGTTGAGTTTTCGAGAAGCTTTATCTGACATTATTTAAAGCACATGTACTCATAAATATAATATTGTGAATAAATTGCCGCTAATGTGTATATTAATGACGTACGCGAGAAGTGAAAAAAATTACATTTTTGTAGGAAACACAAAAGAATGGAGCAATCTGGCGTTTATGTCATGTTATAGAGTGCATTTAGCACAACTCTCACCAAAAGCTTAAAGAAAGAAATTGGAGCCGTTTTTGCGAAAATCTTACTTTTGTAATTTTTTTTAAACAATTGCACAAATTGCACGCAATATTGCGCGAAAACTAGTAAAATTTTCTAAAAAAAAGCAGTACCGTAATATGAGAACAAATTATGGACAACACATTTCTTTTGAAGGAAAAATCTCCATCTTTAATTTTGTAGTTGTAGGAAGACCCCGATAAACATTTAACTTTTGAAATTTTCAAAACTTCAGAGTTAACAGAGAAAATCGTACATATGCTACGCGTATACTTGCATTTACTCTATACTTTAAAAAAATTTAAAGAAAAGATTTTTTGCGAAAATTTTGAAAATGTCCCAAAGTGTTCATGTAAAGTTCTTGTCTAAAAACTAATGAATGCATTTCAAAATCGCAGAGCTTGGACTTAGGCCAAATGAACAGGGGAAAAATCCTATACATGGTTTAGGCGTTAGTATTGTTCACATACACCAAACAGACGGGCGGATAAACAGACAGACGGACGTTTTGAAGAAAGAAAACAACCACTTTTTCGGTATCAGGGGTCCCCAAAAATTGAATTTCCGTTTCAATCTCGTAATCGATTTTCCGCAGCATTACATACATAATATATATATATATATATATATATATATATATATATATATTACTCCGTATATACATACGTTTACGGGAAAGTAAAAAGTCCAAATAAAAATTTGATAAAACTCCAGAAGTGCAATTAATTTGTTCCTATTAATAAAACTCATAAAATCGTAACAATAAAAAAGGAATTTTGCCAAACTTCCGGGCTGTAGCTGCGAGGCGAGTTTAACAAAAAAAAATGAGATGTGTTAATTCGGAAATTGCAATATAAATAGTATTACGTAACCATTACGAAGGGCGAAAATGTATGTGCTGTTTTAGCATCACTTTTAGTTTCAGAAATGCAATGAAATCATATCCGCAGCTCTTTCTCAGAAGCAAGTATTACTCGGGTATTTCTAGGAAGTGAAAATGTTTAGTGTTCAAGTGTTTCAAACCACGTTTTGTTGGTACTTTTATTCGTTATTCTACTGTGTAGTAAAATGTGAGATAGGAATTCCGGATCTCAAGAACACGTGCACAGATAATTCTTCTTAGGCATACATCATTTTTTGGTTGTTGTTTTTTCTTTGTTTCGAAATAAATCAAATAAACTTGTTGTCTTACTGTGAATAAGCACCAATAATAAACATATTGTTGGCCAAATATGAATAATGTACATATTTATTAATGTAATATTAATAATAATATTTGGTAGATCGGAATTTGGCGGTGGCACGGTTTCTTTGGTTTCTTTTAATGATTTATTGATTCTCGTGTTGAAATTATGGTTCATTGTTGCTCGTGTAGGTCAGTATAATAGAGTAGAGTAAAATAAAATTATATTGTAAGATGAACGCCCAACGACCTGAAAGGTGAGTATTCGCATAAATTGGGTTGGTAATAATGCGTTAGACAGACTCAAGGGTGTTCTATGTTAACGCGAAGGCCGAATGCCCGAGCCTCGTCCTCAACTCGGACACGCGTAGCGAAGCGTCACGGTTCCACAGGAAAGTGCGCCGACCGCGCTTCTGCCGCATTGACTACAAAATTAATTTCTAGGATGAAAAATACGAACTGAAAATACGAACTGTTCAGTTCGAATTGTCAGCCCCGTTCACGAACTGAACGTTTACATTGCATTGTTGACAACCGACTCCTTAGAGGTGAACGACATTTGTCGCTGTAAAAAGAACCGTGACACTGCCAACTTCCGATTTATAATAATATTTATAATTGTGAATATGTTCATATGTATGTTCAATCTTCCTGATTAAGTGCTTCTTACATATTGGTAAATTGATATTATGTTCTGGTTTTGTGTATTTCAAGCACATTGCTGAAAAGCTTTGTTAGAGATATTTAAAATAATAGCATATTTATTGCAGTACAATTACCATTTTACATGTTCGTTACGATCAGTGAGAGAACATTATTTTGTCATTTTGAAGCAGCAGTAGTTGAATTTATTTAGTCACATCAACTACAAGGTCGTTACAGATTTGATTAAAAGATTGTTAGTCATTCTTTAAGCACATTAATCGTGTTATCATTTTGTATTACATGCTGTTTCCTGACCATCTTTAGTATATCCATATCGTTATTTATGGGATTGTGTCTTCAAATCAAACAATTATATCAGCTTGCCGACGTTTCGAAGTTTAATTTTTCCTACGTCGGGGATGAATTCTAAACAACACGGTTAAAGCGATGCACAATAAATGTGAAGTATGCAATCAAAACACATACATATAAAACAAATTAAAATAAAAGCACCACAAAGGGATACATTATTAGGGTGATGTAAATTATACAAACATTATAATACACTTGCGACCTATGCCAGTCATGTGGCACTATTTAATAGGTTGCATATAGAATTTTCTTGAGGCCTTAATATATATGTTAAACTACAAAACATTTAATTACACAATTTTATAGTAAACAATTTAAAGAGCGGTATTTCAAAATGCATTCCCTTTCTGCACCATGTATTCGACAGAGTGCAAAGAGCTTCTCTTGTTTCAGGAGGTGGACGAGGAGAACCTGGACGAGGGCGCCCCGGAGCAGACCGCTGGCACCGCCAGCAAATCCGAACTCGATCTCAACTCGAAATTTGAAGAATTCTGGCGAGCGGGCCGGGAGAAGGCGAAGGAGAAGAAGCGCAAGAAGGAGCTGAACAAGCTGTCGACCGAGAGCGCCGGCAGCAACCCGTCCTCCCCGTCGCCGTCGCCCACGTCCCCCGCGTCCCCCGCGGCCCCCACGGCCCCCGCGCCGCCGGCGCCGTCCGGGCCCGCCGCCCCGCTGCCTCCCGGGCTGGCGGCGCCGCGGCCCTCGATATGAGCATCTGCCCGCCCCCGCCGCCAGCAGACATGGCCTCCGAGATGGTCGCCGTCCTTCGGTGCCCGCCGCCCCTGCGAGAAACGTCCACGCGACGTTGCATTTGTGGGCCGACGGAGAGATTTGAGGCGAGAAGTCCCGTTTCTCGCCAGATTGTTTTTCCTATTTCTTCGAATCGAATGACTTAATACGAAAACTTTTTGATGACAATAATATATACATATGTATTCGTATTGTGCATTAATTACTGTATAGATAATGGATATCGACGGTTTTGTAGGTATCTTGAGAAATGAATATTTTGAAATAAATGTGATGTGTAAAGTGTAAACTTCACTATTTTTACAGAAATGGTTAACCCACTTTTGGAACAAACTCAAGTAAGTTGTGATGCATTTAGAGTAAGCAGTAGAGTAAGTAATATCTTCATTTTTCTATGCATCCAGTTGCTGAAGATATGCCGTATTGAATATGGAAATTTGCTGTGGAGTTTTCTTCGTCATGGCCCACCGTCTTTGTGACTAAACAAACGTTACTTGATTTTAATTTCATTAAGAATGTTGATACGGAAGGACATTATAAATTATTATTTAAGGTGTTCAATATATGAATATTTTCTAGCGTATTTTATTAGATAGAAAGTGATATTTTCTCGCTACATTTGTGCTTTTTTGCGAAGTTGTAATTGATCGCATACATTCAGAGAAATGAAAGTGATATTACCTCATTATCGTTCTGTTTCTTAATCTATACACTTTTCAAAACATATTTTTCCAAGAGAAATGACTGCGAGGTAGTCCTGCGAAAAACTGCAAAGTGGTCAAAATCTGTTTCAGGTAAGATATAAAAACCTTCGTAATATCGATTTAATCATTGAAAGTGCTTCCACTTTGGAACAGCTATCAAATTCGTTGGTATAATAGCTATCAATGAAAGGATAAAGGCATGAATTTGTAATAACAAACGAAGCCTACTAAACATATGCAATAAATTAAGTTCTGTTGATTTCTTATAAACAAATAAAGACTGTGGTTTAAGTATTACAGAAACGACACAAAAAATATTTCGAATTGCAAAACTTGTGCTCATGAATGTGGACAGTTCTGAGATTCTATTTCTCTTAAACGCGGTATACCAGCCAATAAACACTGAACGGCAGAATGCGCATTAATATTTTAGTAATATTCAATTCTATTCTAATAAAAAACCACTGGTTTAAAAAGTCGACCTAGTTAGAGCTGTTTCTATCGTCAGTGTCATCGTCTCGAAATTGCACCATATCTTATCATATCACATCAGCTAATTTTTAAATGACCCGAACGGTAATCTGAATACATAAATATGTGTTTGTGTATATTCTAGCATAACTCCGAAACACTTGAAGCAATGTCATCTACATACAGCATGAATACTTAAGAGCGACGGAGAAAAAAACATTGATGGTTCCCGATCCAAAACATTACCCCAGTGTCGTAGCGTAGTGTGGCGGTCCACGTCTGGCGGCAAACTTTCACTAATAATAATAATAATAATAATAATAATAATAATAATAGTCATTTGTAAATATTTGAACCACTTGATTTCATATTTTTGTTGCACCTACAACTCGGACCGATGGATGTGAGCAATGAATTTTTCATTTCTTATTCTGTGACGGCTTCTTTAAATGAATGTATAATAAATAAAGACATTTGTCCTTGTAGCCACTGGCAACACCATCTGTACTAACTTGTAGGGATTACCCTATTTGATTTTTTGCTTGAAATGCTAATGACATATTCAGCGAGAACAATTGTTATCATAATGTAAAGTGTTCCAAATTGGGTAATAACATCTGCAAATTAGATTGCAGTACGGTTAAGTCCCTTTAGAGAAGTTCGTTTAACAATTCAAATAAAGTTTCATTAATGGGTCGTCTAATGTCCAATTCACATTAAGTTAATCGTATACAATACTTGTGCATGTATTCGCTTTCCAAATTGTAATTTTAGTGCTCATAAGTACATGCAGCGAATGATTATGATTATTTAAATTACTAAATGTTGAAAATTGAATTCTTCCGGTACGTATACATTCAACTATGTATTAAATATTTTATTTGAATTTTTATCTGTGTAATTGTATGTTTGACTATCTGTTACGTTGCTCAAGCTTGTGTATTTTAGTCTTTAAACTTGAAATGCCTAAATAAAAGGGCGGCGAAATTTTCCTCCACCTCGGGCGGCTGACACCCACACTACGCCAATGCATTACCCCCATTTATTTTGTACAAAAAGTGGTTAATACAATCTGCAAAGCATTACTTCTAGGCTGTCCGGGTGACGCCGCGTCGTTGGCAGATAGGCCGACGTTTCGCCTGTCATGTCATGCGGCGTCACCCGGACAGCCTAGAAGTAATGAACTCGAGCCGCGGAAGCCTACGTGTACAAAAATCTGCAAAGCAGGTATGCACTGTGGATCGCGAGACAGGGGTGCGGGCTGGGCAGTCAAGCGATTTGTGGTCGGAGCAGAACAGAGGTAGGACGAAACTTCGCGGGCAGGGCCGGGCGAGGAAGGAGGGGCAGAGGCACAGAAAGCCCATTCGAGTCCCGTCCACCGAGCCGTTCACATCGCAGAGCGCTCGTAAAAGTCGGAACGCTAGCGTCGGTACGGGCCCGCCCGATACCGACAAACCAGTTTATATTTCAAGTGCTTCTTGTAATAAGTGCAAAAAGTGAAATATAGTATTAATCCAGTGCATCGAATAACTCTCACCAATGGTATTCGATGTGAATCAATCAACAGGCAACGTAGTCAGCAATGCTCTTTACGTGCTACACAACTCCAGCGGTATTCCGCAAAGCAACTTCATCAATTTGCCTACCACACACAGTGAAAGTGACACGAACGAGGATACAGCCATGGAATCTTCAACATCAGAAACTTCATGTTATCAAGACCCATCGCAAGGTACAACGCTCGTAACCTTAAGCACCCGGCGTGAGGTATAAGCCAGCGTCAACCAAAGAAAAAGGTCAGTAGGCGAGGACGCTTCCAACAGCGATAACAAAAAACACGTGCAAGTACAAGTGACAGTGACTATGTTAAAGGTTCTACATCAGATTTAGCCAGTTCACCACCCACAGACGTTTACGATGTTTCAATAGGCTCCGTAGTACAAAACTTCAACTTCAGAAATGAAAATATAGACTTGCAATCTTCATACAAGGTCCCAGTAGGTAACAGATTTACGGAATTAGCCTCCAAGGAAACCAATTCTCTTCCCTCAGATAACCGCTTCAACTATCTTAAGTATGATCAATCTTCACAGCCTACTACAACCAATAAAATACCCCCAATTATTATAGCCGAGGTAACTAATATCAACTCATTCGTTAATGAAATTAAAGTTAACGTATCAAAAAACTTCGTGGCTGAACAAAAAAACAGCAAAGTGAAAATAAATCCCGGCGCAGGGGAAGATTTCCGTAAAATCATTAAATACTTAATCAATACAAATAGAAGATTCCACTCCTAGAAGACCCTGCAAACAAAAACTTTTCGGTAGTATTTAAAAATGTCCACCTCTCCATAACTGATAGTGAAATTATGCAAGATTTAAAACAAAGATACCCATCCATTGTTAAAATCGCCCGTCTTCAGAAGGACAACCATCCCATTCCTGTAATAGCAGCCGAGTTCAACGGCAATGAGCCACTGGAAACAATACTCAACATTAATCAAATCTGTAACCTCAAAGTCACCACCGAAAAAAGAAAAAGACCAAAAGGTCCACGACAATGCTATAGATGTTTGGACTTTGGACACTATAGAAACAATTGCAATCAAAAAATTAACTGTGCAATATGTTCCGGTAATCACTATATTGTAACTTGTCCCGAAAGTAAAGCAAACCCCACCTGTATTCTCTGCAAAGGCAATCACCGTGCAAATGTAAGAAATGAGAACTGTTTATACTATAAGGAAATTGTTGAAAAGAAAACCACCTCTCCCTACAACACTAGAAATCCATACCAAAGAACACCATTATCATCCTTTAACAACCAACAAGAACAACTTCCATCACTACCCCCTACCCAGCCAATACGTAACTTAACTAGAAACAATCACCCTGTAAACCAATCAGGATTCGAAAACAATATGAGATCACAGAGAAGCCGTACCCAACAAAACCAACAAGGTAATAATAATAATAATAATAATAATAATAATAATAATAATAATAATAATTAATAAATAATAATCCCCATTTAAATAAATAATTAATTTTATATCGTCCTGTATTATTAACTTCATAAACTCCCTCATACCATCAATAATCAATACAATTCAAAATACAGTAACAGCATTTTTAATAACAATAATGTCAATACAAGCCGATAGAAATATATCATTAACAAATTGGAATGCAAATGGGATCATCCAAAAAAATAGAACTTACTCAATATTTGCACACATATAACATAGACATCGCGTGCATAACAAAGACGCACCTAAACAATAGTAATAAATTTTACATACCAGAATACAAAATTTATAGAAATGACAGGACCAAACAAAAAGGAGGTAGTGTACTTATAGCAGTCAGGAATAATATAATCCATCATGAAATTAATATACCAAACATCGCAGGAATTGAAACAGTGGCAATAACTCTAGCAATGAACAATGAATCATGGAATATAATAACTGCCTATAAACCTCCATTAATAAAAATACAACCCCAAAATATTCTTAATCTATTCACCCCAAACAAAAAAAACATTAATACTAGGTGATCTAAACGCTAAACACACAAACTGGGGATGTCGTACTTGCAATCAAGCAGGAAAAATACTATCACAAGTTATAAACAATACCACTATCAATATACTTTCGCCTCCTGAACCAACATACTACCCAAGAGACGTAACTAAGCAACCAGACATCCTTGACATCGGACTGACTGACGGCAATATACATTTTTACTTAACTCCGTATCACGAACTCGACTCTGACCC